ACCCGGGCCCTACGCTGAATCCGAAAATCCACACTGGAAAGCGCGAAAACGGCGAAAAAGGGCTCTAAAGCAGGAGTTAAATCGAAAGTGGGCGGGGTCTTCCCCAGGGTGAATTCGCGGTCCCAGCTCCCGGAGCGATCTTTTCGCTTCCAACTTCAGATCATGCATTCGCACTTGGTCCGTTGAGATTTCAGGGCGGTTAGTGGAATTGGAAAGATCGCTCCGAAAGCCGGGACCGTGAATTTACCTTGGGGAAGACCCCGCCCACTTTTGATTTCACTCCTGCATTAGAGCCCTTTTTCGCCATTTTCGCGCTTTCCAATGTGGATATTCGGATTCAGCATAGGGAATAGGCCCGGGTAAGCACAAAATCTCAAAATCGACTTTTTGCCCGGATACTGCCTTTAATACAAAGTAAAACGATAGAATTGTTGACCTTGTGTCCACACAAAGTGAAGTGTTCTTAGTGCAAAAAGATCTGTTGAAGAGTGTCTTACTTGACCTGCGATTATTTCGAATAGGCCTTCAACGATGTTGTTGCGAGCTCACAACCTCCTATGTTCTCTTACGTCTTTTGTTACTTCCAAAGAATAAAGTATGAAACTAGCACTAGTTACAAACGACTAACCTTGAACTTTGGATTTTCTTAAAATAGTAAAAAGTTATTCACATTCTGATAACTCACTTTCGGAAATTTGTTTGATTTCATCTTTATTTTTTAATTTTCTTATTTCTTGAAGGCTTAGTACTACCTTTTTTTTTTAATTTCATTCAGCTTCGTTCTTACATCTTTGGCACAGCTAGAGCAACTGTTAGCTTCGTTACTTTGCATGAGTTTTGATTATTGTCGCAAATATTACTTGTACTACTCGCTATGCCCAACATTTTCTTTATATAATCTGTAACATTCTTCATTTTCCATTCTCTCGCAGTGCGCTCTAGTAAAGTACATTATGACATACACAAATTGCGTAAGTTCTTTCATGGTTCCTTTGCTGCTCTTCATCTCTTTTTCTCATAGCTTTTACTTTTCTATTTTACCTATACATACTAGGTTGATTCAAAAGTTCTGTCCAATTTGAGATTTTTTCATCTAAAATCTTATAACTTTTTCAAAATCAACAATTTTGAACAAACCAAATTTTGTTGAATTAAGCGAGTTTATGGCTATCGCATGCACGTTTGCCATGTAAGGAAGGCAAGCGAGAGAGAAGAGAATTTTTCGAATTCTGCAAGGTTTTTTTCAAAACCGTCCAGTTTGCCTTACTACTGCTTCCATATGAGAATGGGCAGACATATTTGGCTGCCATCATTAAGTAGCCTATGTTTTAGAGGTTCTTTTGCGCTAAGAAGAATTCGAGTCAGTCTTGCTGCACAGAAACTTTGTGAGCAAATCAAAAAATCCATTATTTTTTGAGCTCACCTCGCTTGCGAAAAGATGCTTACTTTCCAATATTTGTTTTTTTCTTGCTGTCGCAAACGAAGAAAGCCAACCGGCAATGGCTCCTGCTTGCTCTCGCTTTACTCTATCATATGCAATATTGAATGCATCACATGTCACTATATTTAGATTGTTGTCGCTTTTTGAATAACTGAGTTTGTCTTCCATCTTTGAAAAAAACTGAAAAAGTAAGACATTCTCTACGTCGGAGAAAAAGTGTGCTTATGTTAACCTATTATAGCCTCACCCGCCGTTATAAAATATTACATATTTACTTTTACGAATACTGCGGAAGTTCTCTTCATGGAAACTTTTTCTTGGGCACGACTGCATTTGGCAACTTTGCTTCGAGAGTTGAAATTTCATTACCGGAAAGTTGATTCGCCAAGCATCAGTGAGCACTAGAAAGAGCAGGAAAAGTACTTCTAGACGATGTTCATGACGGTGCCATGAGTGCACTACTCCAAGAAAATAGCTGCGTTGAAATAAGGCAATTGAAAACCGAACAGAACTTTTGAATCAGCCTAGTATATAACAGCCATCCAGGTCGACCTGAAATGACAGCTGCTGTAAAAGATTCAATTCTGTTAATTTGTGTAGACACACTCTACGCTTGTGAGCCCATTGGCGGAATTAACCTAAAATTTCCAATTTGGATCTTACGATAGGGGGGGGGGGGGGCGCTGAATTTATCGAGTAGTTTTTTTGCGACTATGCATTAGGTCATCCGAAAGTAATTTCGCTTTTTTCAAATGGGCACCACATTTGATGGAACAAAGATTTCTGAGAAGTCTTGGTAGCACTCGATGCTGCATTTCATCCTCTTTCTGATGATATAGAAACATTTGGAACAATGAATGAGCAATCTTATATATAAAGCTAAATGTATGTCTGTCTGTCTGTCTGTCTGTATGTCTGTCTGTACGTATGTTCCGAATAGAAAATTCCATTTCTGAACCGATCGGGACCAAACTTGGCACACATACACTTTGGGCCCCGGCGCGTCATAGGCTACTTTTCGTCATCGATCGATATCGATTTTATCGATTTTTTGCAAAATTTGAGCTACAGGGCTGGGAGTTGGCACAGGGGGGTAATCGAGCATGCTGATCACCCCCACGGGGGTGATCAGCATGCTCGATTACACCCCCCTGCCAAATTCCAGCCCCCTAGCTCAAATTTTGCAAAAAATCGATAAAATCGACATCGATCGATAAGGAAAAGTGGACTGTGGCACCCGCCGGGGCCCGAAGTGTATGTGTGCCAAGTTTGGTCCGGATCGGTTGAGAAATGGAATTTTCTATTCGGAACATACGGCGGAGCCGAGTAAGCCAGCTAGTTGGAAATAAATCAAAATCGGCGACCCATGCTTTTTGAGATGCTCAAGTTTCACAATTTTTCTAAATTTTATATCAACCCTCCGAAGAAGTTCAAGAGTAACAAATAGAGCAAGTACAGTAAACAGCACAATTTTGTTTCCTCCATATCTCGCTATAAATTTTTGAAGATTTTTTCACTAAAACGACTAGATTTTGGCAGACCTACACCAGCCACAGTCGCAATAATTACCAATTAATCTTTGGGATTTGAAACTTCCAAGATGGTTTCATGATTTAGCATCAGTTGAGAGAAAAATTGTTTCGTGTCCTGTAGGGTTTACTCTATCAGTTACTCCTTCCGAGGATTGATATAAAAATTCAGAAAAAATGTGAAACTTGGCATCTGTAAAGCATGGGTCACAGAACTTGCTAACTTTCCAAGAGCCCATTGGTTCCGCTCCAATGAATCTACAAAACTCTGAACTTCTATGAATCATTAAAAAGAGGATGAAATGGTGCACGAGTGCTACCAAGATTTCTCAGAAATCTTTGTTTCATCAAATGTGGCGCCTTTTGAAAAAGGCGTAATTTTCGGAATGCCTCAATATAAGCGCACAATTAGCTTGAAATTGGCAAGGAGTTTATATTTTCTTGTCTCTTTTCATAGTTTGGGCATTACTCTGCTAAAATCACTTTATTATTTATAGAAAACATTTGTAACTTAGTATGTCAATGCACACTATAAGCACCAATTGACGACACCTTACTAGCTATCCGTCAGTAAAACCTCTCCTAATGTACTACTGTTTCATATTCATCCAAGTAAAGCAAAGGAGGAGAAAGCAGGATCCCCGGAAATCAAAATGCACTAATCTTAGAAATCGTGAAGTACAGCGTGTAGTGTGCAATACACATATTTGGTTAAGAATGACTCGACAATGTATATCGTCCTTTTCTTTGGAAGATCTGCGCCCATAGCCACATTTTGGAATATGTGCAAATGCACACATTACAAAGAAATCTCATGGATTTTCAGAGAAAAAGAGTGCACTAAACGATGAAGGGGACATTACCCTTGATTTCTGAACATTCCCGAGATGCTCGCGCCGCACCATCACCACTGTACACCGCAATCACACACACTGTCGCGATTCGCTTTCTCTCCGAGAGTATCTCTCCGAAATCGAAATCGCTGGCGACTGTTGGATACAATGCGCCATGAGCAATTCACTTCATTTCCATCCGTCTCGCATCGCAACGTTCGCTAGACACACACACAATAGCGAAATTGCTGGAGCGTAGCTCCTGAACTGTATATGCAACCTTGTGTGAAAGTCGTCACTTTCATTTTCTTCCATCGGTCGTCTATGTTTCATTGTTGATCCTGTTGTTACTGCTTCGAAAAAATCAAGAATTTTCCGTGATTGGATTCACAGTTGTAGTTGTTAGTCTCTTTACGCCATTGCATTCATATTCCAGTCAATTTGTATGTGTGAGATTGCACAAACTGCACACATTGCGCGTCAAAATCTGAAATGACCATTTTGCATAAATCTTGTGGGAATTCTTAACAACTAGCTTCTCCAGAACAGAATGTTGGAAAATAGAAGCATTTACTTGGAAAGAATGCATCTTCGTGGTCAACGAAATCCAGGAATTGACGCGCAATATACGCAAAATGTGTAATCGCACATGTTACAGTGTGAAACAACTAGACTGTAAACGCTTATCCGAAATAATGACCAGTAGAAAGTTCATGTATAGAAACTGATCTTTTTTGCAATATTGAAGCAAGGCTTTTCTTTTGAAGTCAATTACATTCTTCATTCTTTAAAGTCTTTTGAAGTCAATTACATTTGATTACAGTTTCCGTATATTTAACGCTCGACTTACTACCCCTCCCCCCTTGTAGATGCACGAATTTTATTTGCTTGTTCCCTAGCAATGTTTGCCAACTTGTTGTTCTATGGCACCCCTGATGCTATCTTATGCTTCCCGTTCTGGTCCCTCTCCACCCCCCCCCCCTGCAAACTTGCTAATGCCGCTTTTCCCCTCGAAAATACCTCCCTACCAACAAGTTGACGATGCCAAGGTGTTGTTCAAAATGCTACTGCTGTACGAGTCCCAGTGTAGAGTCCCCCCCCCCCCATCTCCTGTGAGAAAACGGGTCTCCAGGCGCTGTAGGGGGCTGGTACAGTAGTGGTTTGTCGCTACAAACAACAACTGCCTACCTCACCCACTAGCCATTTGTGTCGTGTCCCCGTCGTCCCAAAATGTCCGTCTACGAAATGCAGTTACCAACGAAACAATGCGATTCGGTATGCGTCCGGCACGGGAGCCTTTGCCAGTTTCATCTGCTAATTGTAAAATTTTCAGATGGCCTTTTTGGAGCTCGACAAGTCGTGCTTGCTGAAAGCGGACGAGTTCCCCGGCTCAAAGTCGGCATTCATCCGGGACGACAATGGTTCGTTTCACTTTTACGCCACTATCACACTGTAGAAATTGCGAGATTTCGCTCTCGAATTCTTTCGCGGTCATAACTGCCCATCCGCTATCGCTATGTCTCATCTTTTACATCTCTATCACCTTCTCGTCACATTTGTCATGGCAATTAAGGCAGCTGAAACACAAAGAAGCGAGTCAGACCCAAATTAGATGGTTGAAAATTTCAGGAAAACTTATTGCGAAGCAAACAATCTTGAAATATCTGCCTACTCAAGCATACTGTATTTATTCCGACTGTAGCGATGCCGTTGCTGGAAAGAATATTCGAGTCAAAGAAGAGGATGACGACGTTCATCAGCTGAAGCTTGTCTCCATCGATGTAAGTTTACATCTTTTCAAATAATATCAATTTATGCGAATTTTTCTTACTATTTTTCTTGGCAAAACTCCCCTTTCTTGGCACATTTTTGTACCTGCTAAGATTCTGTTTTTCTGATTAAATGCTGACACTTTAGAAATTTGACTGGAAACCAAAATTCCTATTTTGCACCTAGTTCGCGACGTTCTGTTGCACCGGTTTCGATGCGATCCTGCTGAATTTCTCAGTTAAAATGTGGAAACTACATAAAAACAAGTTTGAGTATACAGCAAATATAGAATAACAAGAATGCATTTTAATACTTATTTTTACACTATCCGGCTTGGGGCTGAACATGACGGAAGTAAAACTATCTTGGGTCCTTGTAAATCTTATATTTCTCTGTACCCTTGAAGTATTATCTTGCCAACGACAGAAAAATCGCTAAAAAAATCGAGCAAGAATATGGATTTACTTTCGTGGATTGCGAGTTACATTGTGGTTCCGAGTTATGGTTTGCACTGTCCAAATTAGCGATTTGGTACAATTTTATGTATCAGCACCATCCAGATCTTACCATTAGAGCCCTACCTGACTGTCATCATAACAATTTTCCCTTCCATTCACAACTGTCACGTATTATTCTACCCACAAACAGCACACCTCAGCTGCTGCTCAATTATGCGTTAAGTAGGTGAGTGACTCAATTACTTCCAATGACCATCCATCTTGAGTGTGGTGATGTGTCTGCAGGAAGTAGAGGAGCAAATTCGAGTTGTTTATAGTGCAATGAGGCAGGAAAGATCTATGGTTATTGTGGTGGAGCGATTTTATCTCCGTAATTCGCCAAATTATTATTTCGTCATCTTGTTATGATTAATCTTTATTATGGATAGAGTGACATCATCAATGCGCATTTAGGAGCGGCTACAGATGGTTTCTACCGCGCATATCACTGATAATTACCAGAAGAATTTCTGAAAAGACGAAACACTTAGTTGTGAACACAGCACTTGAAATGATTTGAGAAGAAGTTTCTTGCTTTTGTGATGCTCTTCACCAATACTATATTTTCTTCAATAAAAATCCCTGGGAAGACATGTAGAAATGAAAATAAACTGATAGGAGTGTGACTTTCCCTGCTCCTTTGAATTTCTAATAGAACTGTAATTTCGACTCGTTCTCAAAGTACCAACTGCTGGAGAATGACATTTTTTCTTCATTTCAATGCAGAATTTGTGCAAACTCAAAATGATGCACAACAAAGCTTTCGAACTTCTCTTGTGTAATCTATATTTGGTCCATCAAAATATAATCAATGAATTTATTGGATCCTTTCACAATAAGATGGACTGGATTGCTTCACTGTTCGTTCTATCAATGAACGATACCATCGATAAATCTCGACATGCTTGTTTCTCAGTATACCATAACAATCCGGTTCTTATCGACCAACAACTTCTGCTGAATGAGATTTGCGAACGCATGTATGAGTATTGTTACGGCTACTAGGGTATTACAATACTTGAGCGGCTGGTTTACAGAGGCTATATTACACATTTCTTTAAAAAACCGCAGATGCTTTGATAACAAGAAGCATTCGCCGTGGTGAATAAAAATGAGTTGTCAGTGGCAAGAATCACATTTTCCATTTTTTTTTTTGAACGGGGTTAAGAATGTCAGGCACAAAGTCAAACTCTCTTTTAAAAACTGTCCGTGTCCTCGATATCACTTTTTTGACATAGACACCCAATCGCTTATCTTCTTTTCACCATACCCTTGTAGAAACAATGTTTACATTATTTAGTGCAATTTATGATCACGATGATTACTTATCTTTCCAACATCGCTTGACCTTCGCTATTCTTATTTTATCCTGAGTTTCTATGCTGATGCTTTCCTTTCAAAGTAATCGCCTGCATCAACCCTCATAGTTACCTGAAATCCACAACCTAGACAAGTTTCAAGTTTCTACAGCACAAGTTTTGTATAGAAATATCTTTATTTTAGAAGGAAATAGAGAACCGGCGACTTCTACCACTCTTCGTGCAATTTCACCACAGAGCCGAAGCAAGGCCGGCCGAAGCGCATCTGTCAGATCGGCTTGCCGAGAGTGCACTTGGACGATTTAACCTCGAACTCAAGAAGAACGTCACACACGATTCTTTCGAGGTGGGGGAACATTGGGGGCCATTGCATATCTTAAAAACTTTCATTTCAACTTTGTGAACTCGCGTGAATTACGCGACCAATTCGCAACTCTAAGTCCCACTTTTTACAGGAATCGGACTCGTGGAGGGATGAGGCCGGTTTTATTGTCACTGACCGGAATCGTTTCGCCTTCGTCACCTATAAAACAGCCTCGCTACTTTCGTCACTCACTCCCTGCGGTGAGTTCGATTGTTCTTTGAAAGGTCAATCAAGGAGAAGGCACTGTTGGAAAGAAACAAGACCAGGGTTTGCGGAGAAGGAAATTAAGCACAAGGACTCAAAAAGTTTTTGTGCTTCGGAAATTGGAACTCTACAGCATTTTTTGTGTGAATGTGACCAAATCTACATCATTAGACTGCGTTTTCAGTTTTCTGAATCGGATCAACTTGCTGCTCTCCCAGAATTGCAAATTCTCAGTTCCACATTCGTACGATTCTACCAGATTCTAAGCGAAATCCCAAAAATATACAGAATGAATTCTTCCCCCGAAGCTCTGGCTAGCCGGTACCATTCTGTATGGCTGGCTTCCCTTAGATGAACGATAGAATATATACTACCTATTCTTCATTACTGAGAATTACGCTAGAAACTTCCAGTACATAGTGCCAGGAACAAGTGACCGCTGTGCAGAAACTTTTCAAAACCCGCAAAGCAACTTTTATCATGCTTTATTGGACAAGCTCAAAAATTGACTTCATACAGCTATCTAGGACCATGTACATCTTTCTGACTTTATTTAAAAAACAGCGAGACTACTGCATTATGCATGGAACTTTACTGTGAAGTACAAACATTAGAATCAACGACTGAAATTTTTTGTTTTTTTTTCAAATATGATGGCATAAACTACCTTAAAAAATTCTTACTTCATAGCCACAGTAATAAAAAGAGAGTAGCTTTGTACGGCAAAGCTAATGAACCGTCCAAACTAGTGTTATTTCAAATTTCTAATCCTTTTTTTTTTGAGACGGACTTCCAAAGGTACCATTGACCCTCACTTGCACCAACCTTACCAAAAAACTATGAACCAGATTGACTACAGGTTATTAGCCCATGTATGTCCTTGGTTTTGCCATAGCAATTTGTGCGGTTCAATGCAGTAACATAAAAATGATCATACCAATATACTCTGACCCATTTATGGTGACCGGTCTGTTGTAATGCATACAAAACGAACTGCGATAGCTCCAGATTTTGTGTGGTCTTTTCGTTGCTGTAAACTCATTTCAAAGAATGTAAGAATCTCGAGGTTAAACGAAAGTGTAACAACAAAAATCCAGCAATTTTGAGGTTCAAAAGGCAGTGAAGTTCAGACACAGATCTTACAAGGGAACGATCCCAACCTAAAGTGGCGAATTGGAATGAACCGCATAATTAGATGCGTCTTGATGAGCTGATTCCAAATCTACCTTCCATATCTGTGATGCCGTTATCTGCAAAAAGTTATGAGCGGTTGAAAATGTGAAGTTATTGGGGTTTTGATGAATGTGCTTCGAAATCCAACTAGGAAGTGTATGATTAGTATGACATTGAGTGCACTAATTTCAAAGAATCCTCACATTCAAAATAAACACAAATAAGTGTTTTTGAACAACTAAAAAGCACCTAAAGTTCTTTGGTAAAAGCTATGAGCAATGGAAAGTTCAAATGGCAGACATACAGCGCCATACCTCAAGAATTAGTTGTTCAAAAACACTTATTTGTGTTTCTTTCGAATTTGAGCATTCCTTGTAATCAGTACACTCAAAATCATGCTAGTCATACACTCCCAAGTTGAATTTTGAAGCACATTAAGTGAAACCCCAATAACTTCACATTTTCAACCGCTTATAACTTTTTGCAGAGAACGGCATCGCAGATATGAAAGGCAGATTTGGAATTAGCTCATCCAGACGCATCTAATGATATGCGGATCATTACAATTCGCCATTTTAAGTTGGGATCGTCCCCTGTTAGACGCTTTTTTAGTGAAAGACTAAAGTCCAAATTAGTTTTAGATGCTATTTTATGCCCTTTTTTCTCAACGCTCTTTATCTGTAGTCAAGGGTTACTTAATCTTTATTTGCCATGGATGAATGAAATATCTTCGTTTGATCATTGATCAAATGCTATAATCACGGACGTAGTGATGTTGGGGGAAAATTTGTTTACTGTAGCCTCCGATCAAACGTTCCGCTCCAATACCCAACGATACAATGGAATCGTCGCGTAAATAAAGAGTTTGGACTGAAATAAGCCACATTATATTCCCCCACACGGATGAATTTGAAGAGAGGCGAAGGCGAAGTGGAGGAATTGGAGGGGGGGGGAAGCAGCACTCTGTATTAACTTTCAATGTAATAAAACAAAAAAAAAATAAGATACAATAACTTTGTAAATAAATCTTGCACCAAAAAATTGTGAATTTACCCAAAGATGCTAAGGAACATTTTTAAGTGTTATTTTTCTATAGTAGTATCTTACGAATACAAGATCAATACGTCGTTTATAGAAACTCGAAAAACATTACTATTCTACGATGCATGCCATCACCGCAAATCATTCTTAGTTGGAAGGAATAACCCGCGAAATTACGATCGAAAGTAAAATATAATTTTGCTGGATTTGAGACATTTTTGGTGACGAAGATTCGAGCAACTATGATTTGACTGTTTCTATTAGGTTGGTCCAAAAGTTCCGTCGCACCATTTTCAAAAATACGTAACTTCTTCCTTACACGATATTTTGTTTGGTTAAAACCTTTTTGAAAGGAGCAATTAATGCGCTTTCGAAAACTACCTTGGCTGCTATCTATTATACTAACTAAGCTCTGAATGCAGAGATAAAATTGGGAAAAGGAAATCACTTAAAGTTCGGAATTTAAATTTAAGCAAGCCCATTTGAAAATCCAAAACTGTGCCATAAAATCCAAAACAGCCACTTTCCTAAATTTTTTGACCTTCTCTTTCCCGCTGAGCAAAATTTGCATTGATCGAGCTGTTTTAAAAAGTTATGATTTTTTGGAAAAAAATGTCAAAAAATCAAATTTTTTAAGAAACTGATTTTTTGGCATTTTTTCCTGAGAATCATAAGTTCTTTTCTACGAAGAGCCCCATCAGCGCGAATTTTGCGCATATAGAAAGAGGGAATCAGAAAACTTAGGCTACTGGCTGTTTTGGATTTTACGGCACAATTTTGGATTTTTCAACGGGCTTGCTTAAAAATTCCAAACTTGAAGTGGTTCCCCTTTCCCAGTTTTAGCTCTGCATTTAGAGCTTGATAGCAGTCAAAGTAACCTAAGAAGTGCATAAATTGCTTTATTCAACAAGGTTTTAGCCATGCAAGTATATCGTGTTAGGAAGTAGTTACGAATTTTTGAAAATGGTGCGACAGAATTTTCGGACCAACCCAGTATTTATCGACTGGAATATCCGCTACAATAACAACGGATTTTTGCTTGAAACGTATTTGTAAGGCTAAGGACTTTTTTTGGACTTTTTTTTAAAACTATATCAAATCAACCGAATTTTTCAACTAGAAGAATGACAATTTTACAAAAATTTTATGCAATACTTGTGGATCAACCTAATACCTCCAAATGTACATTTTATTTTCCTTTCTCCTCATATGGTGATAGACGATTGTTTTTTCCACCACGCCCCGGCATTGATATCCCTTTCACCTTTCGCTGAATGACCGCGGCGAATCCGTCTTCTGCACTTGTCACATCGAAACTCTCACCGAACGGATGAATGACCTCGGTGTGCAGAAAATGGGAACGAATTTTCACGGTGAAATTTCAGTGAAAATGAGAGATATGATAGACTCTCCGAAAAGGAACTTTTGTTGAAGTGTCATGCTATGGGGGATTTTTGAATCTTTCGGCCTTGAAAGAACAATTTTTTGTAATCTGTATAAATAAATCTGAATGTTTGTATCTGTGTTTGTCTGCGAGTGTGTATACTTCGTTCCGAATAGAATTTATTTATAAATCGGTCCGAACCAAACTAGGTGCACATACACTTCGGGGCGGGGTGGGTGTCGTAAGCTACTTTTCGTCATTGATAGATATCGATTTTATCGATTTTTGCAAAGTTTCGCCTACGACGCTGAGATTTGGCATAGGAGGAGGTGGTAACTGCATGGTGATTGCAAAAATATAATTGACAGGACCGGGAGGGGCCGGGCTTGCCACTAGTTCCAAATAATATCACTTAATTATAATAGTACGATTTTTTTAGCTATCACTATCACCAAATTCGACCCCAAAGATCTCGAAATTCTTTGCGATTTTGACGCTTCCGTCTGTGGATTCACTAGGGAGGATGCTGTAGAGGCAAGCGCTTCTCTTAGAAAATATTTTTCTTTTGAATTTAATTTCATTGCAGTTCATCGCTGCTAATTCAACAGTATACGTTGCAAAAGGTGACGGCGTTATCGATGGAATGATCGCTGCTAAAGGCAACAGGGTAATTTTCACAGAACTTTAAATTTACAGTATCAATTATTCATTGACTGGTTCAGATCCTGGCGCTTTATGCCGAGACTTTGGAGATTGCCCATGCTTTGATGAAGCACTACATCGTTTCTAATAGGATCACTCAGGTGAATTAGATGATAGGTTGTTTAGTCCTGAGAAGAGCAAAAGCTGGTTTAGGTATCGTTTTTCACTATGGATAATGTATGGGAATGTAAGCCTATGTCTTCGCGATGTGTTCACCGACGTCACACAAGGACTGTGCCATCGAATATTAAGTGGAATAAGGTTAGGGAAAAATTGCAGAAAGCTTTGGATTTTTCTTTCACCTTAATCCTAATCCAATACTTTCTCTCTTTCCAGGTCTTCGCATTAAACATGGGATTCCACATTGTATAAAAAGACCGCGGAGGTGACTGCCGTAAAAATGTTCAAACTGAGAATTAGCGTTTCCGCTAGAAGATGCCCATCCAAAAAGCCTTTCACCAACTATCTGAGATCTATAATGTTCCAAATGTGATTCATATGTCTGCTAATCTGTGGTTATAATACTGCGTCAATAATCGTGTATACCTCAAAATAAATTCTTCTTTTATGGCTACTTTACGAGATAGACCAATTAATGCTTGTTTTGTACCTTTGAATCAGTTGGAGTGTGTCGCTGAAACGACACATGAAAATCGAGCAAAGTGAGAGCATAGCGATAGTCAAAAGTTTTGCACTTTAACGCTGGCCAGAGGCGAAAAATCGGGCAAATGCTAGAAAATCAAGTTCAGTCATCAATAATCAGCAAACATACAAACAAGGGTGAATTGCCTGCCCAGACGAATGATAGCAACTGGACTTATGAAGACTTTTATCGTGAAAAAAGACGAGCGCTTCAATGAGAGAAGAAGCAAACACATGGAATTTTTCTTAGAGCTTATCAGAATAATGAAATTTTGAAAACTTTGCAGTACTGTCATAATTGTGCTCTTCCAAGCCAAAACATTTCATTCTTTGTTAAAATCTGGAAACCAGGTACCACTAGGTCGCACAGGAACGCGTTTTTGGTCGAAGTGCCTTTCCCGATAAGATCCATACCGTTTTGTAGCGAATCAGACACTGGTTCCAGTAGTCTTTGGTATCTGCTGTGCGCCTCGGGATGCCGATTATGAATATTTTTTCTATGTCGAGAAATCAACGCATGCTCTGGAAAAGATTAGCTACGGTCCCACAAGTGCTCAAATAGAGCAGATGTGTTTGTGAGTATACTATTCATAAAGTATCCATTGCATGGACCCCTGATACCCTACATTGGCCCAATCGAGGGGTTATGAATGAATTTGTTTTAGTCGCACGCTCATTTCTTTCGAGCCAAAAATATTCATGGCTCAACGTTCAGAGTAGGGCTCGGCACAGATGGCTTATAAGCAAGCTGGACATCGTTTTCGGGACAGAAGCAGGGGATATCCTTTTTGTGGCTGAAAAGACACAACTCGTTTTTTGGAGGGGGGTGGATTTATGTAAGGTTTAGGGTCAAAGGGGACTTCGTAAAATTTTGCGAAAGTCAAGAAGGATTCGTTTTTTGCATTCTCGGAACGCACCTCGTGCCGAGCCCTGGTTCAGAGGAGCACAGCAGATATAGAAGACAGATTTGGAATCAGCGATCAATTCTCTTTAGAGTGATTTGAGGTTTATCTCGAAATGCCACTTCGACCAGAAACACTTTCCTTGTCATTTGGTTAAAAAAAGAGACGAAAGCAAGATAGTAACAAAAGGAGGCACTAGCTTAGATTGACCTTCAAATAAAAATAAAAAGAAAAAACCCAAAGTATATCCAATTTCCGTTTTGATCCTTACACTTTACGGAAATTAGATTGAGATACGGCCTTCCCCGAATCTCATCAGTAGTAAGGAAAGGCCATAAGTCACACACATTCGAAATCATGTTGAAAGGTTGAGTCCAATTCTGTTGTCCGTGAGGCGAAGCATTTTTCTAAAGGGAACCATGAGCATTTTGTCACGCTCCATCGACACACTACAGTGTATGAAGACAGCGTAGGTAGAAATCTGCTTAAAAAGGTGCTGGGATATTGCTTTCAGATCAAAGTCTCGGTTCTGATAGGGAGCATTATGCAACTGCACCACTTCCAGAATGGTACCGTAATACCAGAGCCGTTAAGCATGCTAATCTAGAAAAAAATGTTGGATTGGTGCAAAAATAATGTGTGTTTTAAAAAGTTTTACTTTGAAGAGTTATAACATTGTTCACTCCTCATATTTTCGAATACAGTTAAAACCATTAGAAGCAGCAAGCCTTTCGTAACCTTGCGCACACCTCTCATACTGGTGCAAAAGGGAAGAAAACCATGCGTCAAAAACCGAAAGGTTCTCTTTTTTAGACCTCGTTCTTAAAACCTTACAACTTCTTTTGAGTTTTGTTCCTATAGCTGATAATCAGCTTGTAGCCGCAAGACAGTAGTATGTGAATGTACAGAAAACACCCCAACAAAAGGGTTTTGCGAAAAGAAAGATAAAATTCTGAAATTGTTCACCTTTTTTTAGGGGGTTTGTGGTAGGCTTGAAAGTCCCAAACTATGAAAATTTGGAATTCTTCAGCACAGTATAGCTGAGTTTCTCTGCAAAAATTATAGGCAAGATGTCATAATCTTAAGCTTACAGAAACGAGCGAAGCTTTGGCGATTGCCTCAATCATGGGAAATTTCTGACCCGTAGAATGCCAGCAGCAAGTATTTATTTCAGGGGCGTCGATTTCTCAGTCCGGATATTTTCGAATAATCTACTTGAAGGCAGCGTCCCCTGAAAATGATGGGTATCGAGGTTTTACAGTGTTGCAATGGTAGACCCTCCAGCTAATCTATCAGTGAAGTCTAGAGCGAAAACGCGTTCCTGGAAAGCCCAAAACTGAAGCAAACGCGGGCACGGAGAGTTTCGAAAAAAGCTCATTTTTGCCACTTTCAAACGCTGAAAAGCTCAAATGTGGCTTCAGCATGGCGAGAAGGCTCCGAAGAGGTGAAAAACCGGAAAATCTTGGCGGAACGCTGCCTCTAAACATGCAATGGGTAAACAATATTCATCTCCTATAGATGCTAAGTTTCCAAAAAAATTCGTTCATTTACGCTTATTGTGGCCAAACAAGTTAAAGAAACAAAATTTCGATTTTGAGTGCAGCTGTGCGAGATGCTGGTGAAACTCTCAGAGATCAGATAGAAGCTTGATTTCACCACTGTTGGAAAGTAATGAAGAAAGCTCAACTCGGCGACTTTGTAGAGTGGAACCTGAGACATGCACCATTCTATGGCACAGTTCCTAGTAACTATAGAAGCAATCAGGCAAGTTTTCTGACAGGCATGTGAGAATTGTACGCGAATTTACGAACTTTCGTGACTCATCACAGGTCCCTCACCATATCTCTGCAAAAAACTCAAAGACCACGATTTTCGTAAACAGCGTGTCTAGAAACCCTCTATAAATGAAGTTTCTCCTTGCAATCCAAGATCATAAATATTTTGACCAAAATCTACCGGCGAGCTTCCAGAGCGTAAGACAGAACAAATAAAATGACCCGAACATCTCGGAAAACTTGCTCATATAGGTCCCGATGATCTGCTGATTACGAAAATTATTAGGTTGGTGCAAAAGTATGCGCGTTTTGCGAGTTCTCAATCTGACGTGCCATAACTTTCCAAAAAATTTACATTTTTCAATGCAATAAAAACCATCAGAAGCAGAGAACCTTTCTCAATACAGCGCACATTCCTCATACTCAAACCCACCAAGGGGCAAAAATATGGATTGATAAGCAAAAAAAAGTTTTTTTTCTGAAACCTCGTTTTCAACAGGTCATAACCCCCCTCAAAATCTGTTAGTGTAAATGACAAGTAGCCTATCTTGTGGCCGTAAGTCAATAGTACAAAAGCCAGAAATAGCGTACGGTCTGCAGAAAGAAAAAAAATTGAAAAGCAAAATTGCCACCTTTTTTCAGCATTTTTTCATAGTCTCCAAAGTCCCTCAATATAGAATTTCTTGATGTTCTACGTACTGAATTGTTAAAAGTTTTGCAAAAAACTATCAAAAGGAGGCCTATCCTACGCTTACAGAAATGAGTGAATTTCGGCAATTGCTTTCTCCAGTACAAATCCGTAGAGCACAGAATGAATGCAACGACTACCCATGTTGAGGTGTCGATATCTTAGCTTAGATGACCTCAAAAAATATGGCTAAGTATGTATAATGTAGACAATTTCCATTACATAAAGAAGCTGAATATTTCAAAGATTGCCTTCATTCGCGCCTGACTTACGGCCGCAAAAGTAGATGCAATGAAATAGTGATTTTAAGTGCGGTTGTGTAAAGCTCTATAAACTTTTAATGAATGAGGCTAGAAGCTAGTTCAATCATTATTGGATAGAGCATGAAAACAGCTTTTTGATGGTGTGCCAAGTTTTTTTCAAAGCAGAAGGATTGATGGAAAATAGTTGTCTTGAAACAAGGGCGGGAAAAACGTGCTTTACTTTTGCACCAACCTATACATCTGCTTTGCGAGAAAACTTCATATGTCAAGGATATGGTGAGTAAATATTAGAAGGACATGATTTTTCCAGAATTCATAAGCCCTTCTATTTCCTTTAGAAGGAAGTCCGCGGCTGCTTTCTAGCGCTCCATAATCTGCAGAAGAAATACTATCGAAAGGTCCTTGCTAGAATCTACTAGAGGCAATGCGCGCTGCCTTACACCTTTGCGAATAGACGTTCGCACAAAGATTCAAGAATACTGATGCAGGAATATCAAAGATATGCTGTATATCGAAAGTCGTCTTGATGAGCTGTGAGCACGCTTTTTTCGGACTTAGAATAAACAGAGTGTACCAAAAAGATGTGCACACTGCTTGATCGTTAATAACTCTCTTGCTTTCATGTCTTTTGCCGAGTTTGGGGTACCATTTTGTAGAGCGAGGTTCAACTTAATTTACAGTATGGAGCGAATCACCAATCACTCTTCCTTACTGTAGGATTACGGTATGAATTTTCGGCATACAGCGTCACTGTGGAATAAGCCTTTGATGAAACAATTTCGAAAAAATCTAAAAAATTGTGTAGCAAGGTTTACAAGCTTGCTGATTTCACTGCATAACTTTCCACCAGTTTTTGGAGCTTTCTTGATGGCGTATTCACATTTCTGACAAACACTGAAAAATCACTTGTTACCCTAAATATGAAATAACTCATAAAAGAAACAGTGTACTGACGTGCGATTTTCGTATAGAATCAGCAACTTTGATTAACCCAGTTCAAGAGTTTCTGCCTTGTTTGGCTTTCTTTCTGAGGCAAAATACCGCTTTCAATGGCTTAAAGTCCTTCTCGAAAAACCTACCGTAATCCTACAGTGACGAAGAGTGATTGGTGATTCGCTTCATACTGTAAATCTGAGTTAAACCTCGCTCTAAAGAATGGTTCCTCAAGCTCGGCAAAGGACTTAAAAGTAAGAGAGTTATTAACAGTCAAACAGTGCGCACATCTTTTTGGGACAACCTGTATTTATTGCGAAGGAGGTTACGGCGAGTAGAATATG